TTGTACGTCGTTCACATATGCATGTATATACACACAAACACATAAGTGTATGTGAAATTTGTCTTGCCATCTTAGACTTTCAGATCCCAAAGTGAAGGATTATATGCCAAGCATATTGTGACTAGCTAATAAATGATATACATGATCAAGATAAGTTTGGACTGTGAAAAATAATTTGACAAAACCCTTAGTCTGTCCAGATTACCCTCATAAGGGATATGTGATATTTTCTTGGCTCAATTAGATCACTTTTCTTCTGGTACATATCTTTTTCTCTACATTCTATTTTTTACATCTTTTTCAAATTGCCCTTTGACTTTTCAACTTTATTCACCTACTTCTGTCTAATTTAAACTTAATATATGAAACCCATGACAATTTAGAAGGTAAACGCTTGACAAGTTGTGGCAGAGGTACAACCAGTCTTTCCAGGAAGGGCAAGAGGGAAAGTCATTTTCAAAGTAGGTCATATGCCCATATAAAGTACAAGAGTTTCCTTTTAAAGTGCTTCATTTATCCATTCTTTTGGCAAGCATTTATTGGGCACCTTCATGTGCCAAGTACTGTTCTGGGTGCTGGAGATTCACTAGAGAAGAAGACCAAAGTCTGTATCCTCAAGGAACTTACACTCTATTGGGAGGGCCAAAGAGGAGAGAATAACAAACAATAAAATAAATAAGTTTTATAATATGTTATAAGGTGATGTTGTTGTTGTTGTTGTTGTTATGTGCCGTCGAGTCGGCCCCGACTCATAGCGACCCCTCCTTGGGTTTCCGAGGCAGTATCACTACGGAAGTAGGATTGCCCAACCTTCCTTCCGAGGAGTGGCTGGTGGGTTTGAACCGCCAGCCGTCTGGTTAGCAGGCAAGTGTCTTAGCCACTATGCTACCAGAGATAGGTGCTACAAAATCAAACAGAGAACAGACATAGGGAGAGCCAGGAAGAAGGTGACTACAATTTATAGAGTGTTCAGAGGGCTTTATTGAGCAGGTGACATTTGAGCAATGATTGGAAAGGGGTGAGGGAAAGAACTTTATGGACATCTGGGCTAGGCAGAGTGGGTGGAAGTGCAGAGACCCTGAGGTGGGAATGTGCTTGAGAACAGTGAGGAAATGTAGCTAAAGTAGAGTGGGCAAAGGGAAGAGTAGCAGGCAAGGAGGTTGAAGAGTTCACAAAAGGCCTGACAGTGCAGGATCTTGAAGCACATTGTAAGGACTTTGGCTTTTATTCTAAGTGAGGTAGAGAGCCCCTGAAGGATTTTGAGTAAAGTTATTATATGATATGAGTTTAGTTTTATAGGGGTTATTCTGGCTCCTGTCATGAGAGGATTTGCATAAAGCCTGTCAGGAAATTGTTGTGGTCCCTTGGACCAGTATGATAGCAATAAAAACCAAACTCACTGCTGTCGAGTCGAGTCCGACTCATAGCAACCCCTCCTTGGGTTTCTGAGGTGGTTTCACTATGGAAGTTGATTGCCCAACCTTCCTTCCAAGGAGTGGCTGGTGGGTTTGAATTGCCAGCCTTCTGGTTAGCAGTCAAATGCCTTAGGCACTACGCCACCAGAGCTTCCCATGATAACAATAGATGGGATGGAAAAAAGTCAGATTCTGAATATTCTTTCAAGACAGTTAACAGACCACGTGACAGATTGTGTGCCTGTATGTCTATGTGGTGTGTTCAGAGTCAGGAAGGACCCAAAGTTTCAAGGTTTTCATCCTGAGGAGCTGAAAGAATGCAATGTCACTACCTGAGTTGAAAAACTAGAGGGCTCAGCAAGAGTAGAGGACAGCAAGTTTGTGCAGAGGAGGAAGGTCAGGAGTTGAGTGGTAAGATAAATTCTTTTATTCTGTGCAGGTACACCAGAGTGCCAAGACAGTTTGCCCATCTCCCTCAACTCCTTGCTATCCCAATGACTTTGGCTGTGTGGCATAGTGCCTAAGGCACTTGACTGCTAACCAGAAGGCTGGCACTTCAAACCCACCAGCCACTCCTCGGAAGGAAGATTGGTCAATCTACTTCTGTAGTGATACCACCTCGGAAACCCAAGGAGGGGTTGTTGTGAGTCGGCCCCGACTCGATGGCAGTGAGGTTTTTTTTTTTTTTTTTTGTTTGTTTTTGTCACTGTTTAGTGAAAATACTTTTAATAACTGTAGTTCAATGACTCTGTTTATCCCAGTTTTATTCACTATACTTTGCCTAATATATGATGGGAGGTTTCTTTCATGGATAGTAATTTGACAAAATATAGTAGTTATTCTGCTTCTGGTTTATAGTTGCGTGAAAGACCTAGTGGCATGGAAACTAATAAAGTTTTATCTTTCACTTAAAATGAAATACTCAGATTGTAGGGGATCCCATTGCTAATGCTTTAAACAAACAAACAAACAAGTTTAAGTAACTCTTTGTGCTGCCATAAAAATTTGTAAGTACCTATTAAAACTTGATAAAATACTAAAATTTATTTCATACTGTGTATCAATACCTGTTGTCACTGAGTCAATTCTGACTCATAGCAACCCTGTAGGACAGAGTAGAACTGTCCCACAGGGTTTCCAAGGCTGTAATCTTTACATGAGCAGATTGTCAAGCCTGTGGAGCTGCTGATGGGTTCAAACTGCTAACCTTTTGCTTAGCAGCCAAGCATTTAACCACTGTGCCACCAGGGCTCATTATTGTATATCAGTAATGATTAAAAAATTTCTTTGGGGTGGGAAATGTTTAAATCTTAGAGTTTCTTCAAAAACAGGAATATGAAAGTGTCTTAGTAGTTGATCAAAAATCAGATTTTTGAATAGGAGAGAAATTCTCTAAATCTGAACAAAGTGCTTGTCACCTTAATGGAATTTTTTTTTTTTTTTTTTTGTTATATGGAAGAGAGTGCAGAAAGCTTCAGAATTGGCTGTTTCAAAAGCATTTTCTGCTGGAAGTTCAGTTTTACCTGGAAGGGTTTGGGAACAAACCATAGAATTAGAAACATCTGAGCAAATACAAGATAATGATGAAGCTTATGCAGAAGGTAAGGAAATAATTTTTTTGTTGTTGTTGCAGTGTTAGCAATTATTTGGAGTAGAATTTATTGAAATATAACCCATAACATATTTCAAAGTACAGATTGGAAGCTTTTCTTTTTCTCCTGTTTAATTTTTTTTTTTTTTTCAACTACCCTCAAACTAATTTACTCAGGAGTTTACACCAGTATTAAAAGTAAGGATATATTTAAAGCCCATTTTGACTCCTGAAATAGAACCCACATTCAGAAGCAGTTTGACATAACACAATTAACTGGCAGGTGTTATAAATTAATTGTTTTGTAGTACAGATGTTAGCATGTTAGTATCATGGAAATTATTTGACCATTAATTTGAATTACTTGATTCACATTTTTTTGTATTTTATATATAATGGATTTCTGTCTAGAAACCCCATCTCCCTAAGACCTATTTGATAATAGTAGTAACAATGATGAAGGTAGTCTCAAGTAGACATTTATCTTCTTTGAAATCCCCATTCCCTATGCATAAAAGCTATTTGATAATGATGAAAGTAATGCTAAAGCTGAATTTTTTTCCCATATCAACATATTTTAAGGAGATTTTCTATATATCACTAGGAAAGAAATCCCAATGGGAGTTAACTTTCAGGATATCATGCTCTTTGATTTTCTTCCTACCTCATTGGACACTCCTTCTTAGTCTGTTTTGCTGATTCCTCCTGATCTCTTCAACCCCCAAATACCAGAATTCATCAAGGCTTAGTCTTCTCTACCAACCCTCCTCTTTTTGTGATCTCATCCACTGCTATGGCTTTCAGTATTGTCGGTATGCTGACAACTCCTACACTTCTTTCTTCATTTTAGACCTCTCCCCTGAAACCAGACTTGTATAGCTAATACCTATTTGACATCACTATTTGGGTCTCTAATAAACATCTCAAACCTAACATGTCTAAAACTGAACTCCTTATCTCCCCCTCAAAATCTTCTGCTCCCTTGGCCTTCCTCATCCTTCAGCTTTATAGTTGCTTAGGCAGAAAACCTTATAGATTGGTATTCCATACCAAATCCATCAGCAAATCATAACAACTCTACAGCAAAACATTATCTAGAATATAACCAACTCTCAACACCTCCACTCCAGGTAAAAGCTACCAATACCTCCCTCCTGCATTATTGCCTTTGTTCCCCAATTATTGCCCCCCTAGTTTTGTGTCTCACCGCCTATAGTTTATTTCAATATAGTAGCCAGAGTGGTCTTAAAATGTAAGTCACTTCTTCACTTAAAACCATCTTGTGGCTTCCTACTGAACTCAGAGTAAAAGCCAAAGTACTCTAGAATGGTCTTAAGACCCTGAAACCAGTGTTTTTGAACCTCAGCACTGTTGCCATGTTGGGCCAAATAATTCTCTGTTGGGGGCCTGTCCTTTGCAATAGATGATGTTTAGCAGCTCTCCTTCCTTCTACCCATTGGATGCTGGTAGCATACTGTACTCCAGTTTTGACCATGAAAAATGTCTCCAGCCATTACCAAATGTTCCCTGGGGGCCAAATTTGCCCCTGATTGAGAACCACTGCTTTAAACAGTCTGACTGATCCCTATTACCTCTCTACCTCATCTCCTGCTACTCTTCCCCCACTCACTCCTCTTCAGCTACACTGGCTTCCTATCTATTTCTCCAGCACTAAAGGCACACTGCTTTCTTGGGCCTTTGCACTTACTTTTCCTCTGAATGAAATAATATTCCCTCATATATCAATGTGACTTACTCCTTCACCTCTTTCCCTTCTTTGCACAAATATCTTTTCAACAAATATTTTTTGACCATCTAATTTAAAATTGCAACTTGTCTTCCATTTCTTCTACTCCGTATCTCCTTTCTCTGCTTTGTTTTTCTCTGACTTAATTATTTATTGTCTCTTCTCCCCACTTAGAGTTTCATGGTGGCAGGATTTTTTGTTTGTTTCTTTTTCCCATGTTCTGTACACTGCTCTATTCCTAGCATCTAGAATGTTGTTGTTTTTAGGTGCCATTGAGTTAGCTCCTACTCATAGCAACCCCTATGTTCAACAGAACGAAACAGTGCCCGGTCCTGTGCCATCCTTACAACCTTTGCTGTGCTTGAGCCCATTGTCCCAGCCACTGTGTCAGTCCGTCTCATTGAGGGTCTTCCCCTTTATTGCTGACCCTCTACTTTACCAAGCATGATATCCTTCTCTAGGGACTAGTCCCTTCTGACAACGTGACCAAAGTATGTGAGACAAAGTCTTGCCATTCTCAGTTCTAAGAAGCATTCTGACTGTACTTCTTCCAAGACAGATTTGTTCCTTCTTTAGGCAGTCCATGGTATTTTCAGTGTTCTCCATCAGTATCACAGTTCAAAGGCATCAATTCCTCTTCAGTCTTCCTTATTCATTGTCTAGTTTTCACATTCAGATGAGGCTATTGAAAATACCAGGGCTTGGGTCAGGCACACCATAGTCTTCAAAGTGACAACTTTGCTCTTTAACACTTTAAAGAGGTCTTTTGCAGCAGTGCAGTACATCCTCTGATTTCTTGACTGCTGCTTCCCTGGGCATTGATTGTAGCAGATCCAAGTAAAATAAAATCCCTGACAACTTCAATCTTTTCTCTAGAAAAAAACACTTTAGAAAAACACATCTAGAATAGTACTTAACATATGATAGGTTCTCAATTAATATGCATTGAATGAATGAAGACAGTGAATGAAGAAAATCTCTGAAGTAATTAAAATATTGAAAGAATATTTTTGTTTTATTGGTAGCTCAGGAGCTGATCAGTGATTGGTTAGACACCAAACTTAAGCAAGAACTAGCAAGTGATGGAGAAGGTGATGCTGAAGACACTGTGTCAAGTGTTACTCCTATGGTAGAAGCCAGTGGCCTTTTGAAATATGACAGGTTTGATGGTAAGAGCTTACCTGATTATTATAAGCTTTGACATATAATGAACATATTTAAGAAGTCTTTTTAATTGTTTTGAATAATACATATTATTTAATTTTTCTGTGCCTTGCTTAATTTTATTATTAGCTTTAATTTTTTTTTTACCTAATGCAAATTACTTATACTGTATCCACAGTAAATTGATGGTGCTTTTTAAATTAAAATGTTCTATTTTAAAAAAATTATGTTTATAATAGCAATTCATTCAACTTAAGAAAGTATCTTCCCCATATATTATTGGATAGCTATTTATTTTAATAGGAGCCCTGGTGGTGCAGTGGTTAATGTGCTTGGCTGCTAACTGAAAGGTTGACTTTAAATCCACCAGCTGCTCTGCAGGAGAAAGATGCAGCAGTCTGCTTCTGAAAATATTTACAATCTTGGAAACCCTACAGGTCATTCTATTCAGGATGCTATGAGTCAGAATTGACTAGATAGCAGAGGGTTTGATTTACTTTGATGGAGATTATATTTAAGCTTTTGTCTATCCTTTTATATTTATAAAGTGCTCCATACATCTTTATTATTTATTATAAGGAAAGTTATTACTTTTCTACTATTTTTCGGTTTTGTTTTCAGTGGAAAAAACACTGTAGTATACAGACTTGGTGTCAGACAAGTTAAATAGCTACCTTGTGAGAGTGCCTCCAAAAGTATCCAGGAATCAGGGGTTTTCCCTGAGTATAGGAGTAGGGTGGTAGTGGCAGCTTCCCATATGTTCCTCAGACACACTTGGTGAGTCTACCTGGCTTGACCTTCAATATGCTCTTCTATGGAGGTTGTTGTTGTTATGTGCTGTTGAGTTGGACCTAACTCATAGTGACCCCTCCTTGGGTTTCCGAGGCAGTATCACTGCGGAAGTAGATTGCCCCTTCTTCCTTCCAAGGAGTGGCTGATGGGTTTGAACCACCAGTCTTCTGGTTAGCAGTCAAGTGCCTTATGCTACCAGAGCTCCTTCTGTGGAGGTAGAAAATAAGTAAGATAAAATATAAATTTGTAATATAAAAGTCAAGATAAATATTTTTGAAGAAATAGTAAATGTAATGGTGTCATTCGCTTGCAACCCTAATAGAGTAACAGGAATCAGATTTACCCTCTTCCCTAAAACATCTGCAAAAAATAAAATGACAAAAATGTAAAACAAATTTTCAAGACTCTGGACATCAGACAATGAAAGATAGTAATCCCTGAGAGATGTGAATCAAGCCACGTGAGCCCTGTAATTGCCCCAGTTTGCTGTCTTATGAGAGTTTCTGGGTCATAATATAGGGAGGCGGAACCCATATAGAGCCTGGTGGAGTCCTTGAATTAAAAAAATGGACCTGAGAGTCTGGGTAGACTAAAGTGGCTAGAATAAGGACAGAGTACTGAGGAAAAGAGAGCTGCCACAGGAGTGAGTTCAGTTCCAGACTTGAAGGGTAACTAAGGACCATATTCTTGGGAATCTCTCCAGGCTCTATCAGACCAGTAAACCTAGTCTTCTTCTTCTTCTTTTTTTTTTTTTTTTTTTTTCCACATTTCTCTCCCACTCTATCCAGGATCTCCTGCACTGATCTCTTTCTGAGTAGTTGACAGTGGTAGCTGGACACCATCTACTTCTGGTCTTATGGTCATATGGGCTGAGGATTGCATGGTCTACTAGTCCCTTGGACTAATTGTTTCCATGCATCTTTGGTTTTCTTCATTCTTCTTTGCTCTGGATGAAGAGAGACCCATCATTGGATCTAGATGGCCACTTGCAAGCTTTTATGACCCTAATTGCTACTCACAAAAGTAGGATGTAGAACAATGTTTTTGTGTAGTGTGTTATGCCAGTTGAGCTTGATGTCCCCTGTGACCATAGTCCCAAGCCCACAGGTCCATCTACTTGCATTCTCAGGGTGGTTGGCTGTGGCCAAGAAGTTATCATAACTTTACCCCTTGTTAGCTCTATTATATATTTGGACATTCTTACAGCACATACAAATACATATATATTGTCTGCCAACCCTATATATTTTCATGAGTATACTCCCTTTTGCCTAGACATACCTGATCATTCAGCCTGTCTACCTTTAGTATTTCTTCTGGTCCAGGGATGCTAGTGATGAATTCTGTCAATTTTTGTTTATCTGTGAATGTCTTAAATTTCTTCATTTTTTTGAAGGATAATTTTGCTGGATATAAAATTCTGGTTAACAGTTTTTTCTGTCAGCATTTTGAATGTCATCCCACTGCCTGCTGACCTCCATGGTTTATGATGAGAAATCATTTATCATTCTTATTGAAAATCCCTTGTGTGAGAGTCACTTATCTCTTGCTGTCTTCAAAACTCTCTTCTCATATTTAACTTTCAACAGTTTGATTTTGATATATCTTGGTGTGGATCTCTTTGAATTTATGCTACTTAAATTTCATTGAACTTCTTGAACATGTAAATTAATATTTTCTATCAAATTTGTGAAGTTTTTTGGCTCTGTTTCTTTGTGTGTGTGTATGTGTGTGTGTATGTGTATGTGTGTGATTTGGGTGAAAGTTATGGAGCAAATTCACTTTCCATACAGCAGTTCACATACACTTTGTCTCATGACATTGACTACAATTTAGCCCCATTCAACAGCACCCCTCCCACTTCTTCGCAATAGTTACCTCTTCCCTGTGCCCATCACTCCATGCACTCCTGCCTCCTGAGCTGTCTCCCTGTGCATAAACAGCCCTTCTTTCTGCCATGATTGTTTTCTCCAAGGAGTATATCTACCTCAGGTAAATGTTCAACTCATATGTCTGTCTTTTGTTTGGCTGGAAGCCACAGGTACGGGTTCAATTCCAGACCTGAAGGGCAGCTAGGAGCCATAGTCTCAGTGGTTCCACCAGGCTCTATCAGACCAGCAAACATGCTCCCCCCCTCTTTTTTTTTTATTTTTCCAAATGATTTTGAGTTTTGTTCCACATTGTTCTCCCTCTCTATCCAGGATCTCCTCCATAGATCCCCCTCTGAGTGGTTGACAGTGGTAGCTGGGCACTATCTAGTTCTTTTGGCCTCATAATCATATAGGCTGTGGATCATATGGTGTACCAGTCGCTAGAACTAATTCTTTCCATGAATCATTGGTTTTTTTCATTTCTCTTTGCTCTGGATGAGGAGAAACCCATCATTGCATCTAGATGGCTGCTTGCAACCTTTTAAGATCCCAGTCGCTACTCACCAAAGTAGGAGGTGGGACAATATTTTGTGTAGTACGTTATGCCAATTGAGCTTGATTCCCCTGTGACTATGGTCCCGATTGGCTCTATTTCTTGAAATCTTCTTTCTGTTCCTTTCTCTCTTCTCCCTTTGGGACTCCCATTATGCATATGTCAGTGCACTCAAAGGTGTCCCACAGGTCACTATGGTTCATTTTCCATCATTCTTTTATCATTTTTTCCTCAGACGTGGGAGGCTAGTTTAATACTTGAAAATCAATCAGTATAATTTCTTATATTGACAAACTAGAAATAATAAGAAACATATGGTTATTTCAGTAGAAACACAAAATCACTTGACAAAATCCAACATCCCTTCCTGATAAAAACTCACAGCAAATAGAAATAGAATAGAAATTCCTCAGCTTGATATAAGGCATCTACAAAACCACTACAGATATACCATACTTAATGATAGAAGACAGTCTTTACTCCTTAATACCAGAAATAGCAAAAAGATGTCTGTTTCTTACCACTTTTATGCAACATTGTGCTAGAAAATTTGGCTGGGCAGTAAAGGAAGAAAAGAAAATAAACAGCATCCAGATTGGAAAGGAAGAAGTAAAACTCTTTATTCCTAGATGATATGATTGTCTTTGTAGAAAATATTAAGGAATTTATGAATAGAACTACACGTGTGTTTAGTAAGCTTGTAATATACAAGATTGATATATAAAAAATCAATACTATTTCAATATACTGGTACTGTACAATCAGAAGGAAAAAATTTTTAATAATTACCATTTACAGTAACATCAAAAATAATAAACAAAGATAAATATAAAAAGATATAAAAGACTTGAAAACTACAAAGCATTGCTGAGATAAATTAATGACTTAAATAAATGTATAAATACAACTTGCTCATGTGTTGGAAGACCCAGTATTGTTAAGATGTCAGTTACTTCTATATTGTTCCATAGATTCAATATAATCCCAATGAAAATCCTAGCAGACTTCTTATTTTTTGGTAGAATTTGACAAGGTGATTCTAAAATTCATGTGGAAACGAAAAGGACTTATAATAGCCAAAACAACCTCAAAAAAGGGAGATAGATTTAGAAATTTAATGCTACGTTATTTAACACTTTTTCTTTTTTATTCTTTGGGTGAAAATTTACAGAGCAAATTCACTTTCCACACAGCCATTCACATATACTTTGTCTCATGATACTGACTACAATTTACCCCCAAGCAACAGCTCCCCTCCCACTTCCTCCCAATAGTTACCTCTTCCCTATGTCCATCCCTCCATGTACTCC